TACGTATAAACCACTGTGTTTCTTACTGTGCATATGACAATAAACCTCTTGAATCTTTAATCTTATTATACTGCGCCACTATACTTCATCATCATACATCAATAGATCTACTCATTCAAATACTTTGAGCTTTTCTGCCCTCTAGTGGATGTCAGAAGGTATGTCACTTTCTACACACTGCAGGATCCACTGACAGCAATCCACTATAAACAGTAGTACTGCTCAGCAGTGTGGCAAACTATTCCAATTGTTTTTTTTATTGACAATAACACACCTATAATTAACAGGATAATATCCAATTGTTTGGAAGACCTCTGTAAGTGCACATTTATTAGTTATATGTTTAATATGTTACTATCAATGTGTGTTTAATCCTTGAAACGAGAAAGACTTGATATGAAACCAACGTGACCGGACGGGGAACCAATTCGGAACAAGGGAACGATCGCATCATCTGAACCCACTCAGTGAGTTGTCTGTGGATCTAAACAGCGGCGTGCTGTGTGCCCACGGTGTTGTTGTGAAGACGGAAGTGGTAGGAGGACTTCCCTCTGGCCAATAATTCATTCCTTTTTGGAAACAGTTAAAGGAATACAGCGCCGCCTGCCCAGACATGTCTACTGCGTACAGAAACAGGTGAGACACACCGAAATCTGCGTTCTTGCACGAGACGCAGGACTCACGAGCAGCGGCATCATCTGTTGTAACGTTAGCAGCTAGCAGCTAGCAGCAAAACTGCTGTTAACTTCAGCGTTGAGCTAGCAGCAACAGCAGCTCAGCTAACCAAACATAAGCTAAGTTTAGCTTTAAGGCAAAATATACAGTTCGTACATGCTAATGTCAGTTTTGCCAGGTTTAAAACAGCACATTTAATGTCATGAACGTCAAGCACTTTACAAGTTAATGAATACAACAACTTCATCGTTTTAAGTAGCTACGCTAGCTCCCTGTTAGCACATCAGCTGACACATCACACTTCCCTAACTGGCTAACAATTAGCCATCATCCCACTAGCAGTGTTTGCTGACACTGTGTTTCTGTCAGTGCAAGGGGACAAACAAATGAGTTATTTCCAGTTTAACGGTCGTCCTGGCGTTAAATTAGCTGATAGGAAATTAGCCAAACTGGGAAAACGCACTGGGTTCAGTTGAGAACGGCGGTGTTTATCATTTCCCCCGTGTAATCACACTTTCTCTACTGTAATTTGTTATTTTAATCCACCGTGCAAATGTCAACCGTCAAATAAATGTAAGAGCGACTAATATTGGTTGGCTGTATATGTTCTTCACATCTTATGTCTGAAGTGTCTTTTTCCTCAAATATCCCATATTATTTCCCACCATGACTCACAATAAATGTGTACTTAACTTAAAATAAACTATTTTTATTGGGGAGTTCAGAGTTTAACATACGAATGCATCTGCATCTTATTGATTTATTTTTAATAGGAAATTGAATGTGCACCTACTGCAGGTCCCTAAATCTCCAAATGGTAAAATAGGAAAGAAAAAAGACTGATTTGAATGGTAAAATATGTTTTAATATATAGTATGTTATATGTTATAAACATTATATTACAAAACACTAATAGGGGTTCTAAATTTGTGACCACTGTGGGCAAAATCTTGGCTGTACAAGTGCTTATATGCAAACAATCCCAGAATGATCAGTGTCAGTGAATGGAGTGAGCTTTCATGGTTTGTGCTGTTGTGGTTTTGGTTTGCATTTTACAGTGGCAGTTACAAAGCAGCAAACACTGTCTGTCTAATGCGTCCCAGAACATTTAACTACCACAAACAACTCATTCACTGCTGCTGGACTGAGTAGAGTCCATGTCTCATAGTTGCAGTGCTGTCTAACAGGGAAACAATGCAGTCCATGTTTATTCTATGCCATTAATAATGGTTGAATTTGTGCATCTGGTTGTGAGACTTTTAAAGTGTTCAATAGGCATGTGTAACAGTGATTGATGGTTTTACATTATTTATGAATATATTTATACCAAGCACAATGAACATTTATGGTAATCTGGAAATTATAAGGTTTAGAATAATTACATTTAATAATTTAAGTGATATATTTATACACATAGCTTTCATAAGTGAAAATGTAGCTAAATTCAGCTGAATTATATAAGCCAGTAGCGGTACTAAAGATAGAGCTGACTCTTATTGCTGAGCTCAGCCAAATGATCTGGATCACTAAAAAGAGCTGGAATTCCTATCTCTACCAACCATACTTAAAGAAATAGTGTGACATTTTGGGAAACACACTCAATGGATTAGTTGCTGTTTAAACAAAGCAGATCCAGTGTGTTGATTAGCCTTTCACCCTGCTTCCAGTCTCTGTGGCAGACTGGCTCCTGCTTCATGCTTAAGGCACAGACAGGAGAGATGAATCCATCCTCTCATCTGGCCCTCGACAAGAAAACAAAATGTCCACCTACTACTGCTTTAATCTATAACTAAAGTTTCAGGATGTCATGTCAGAGAAAGCATCTTGTTGTGTGGACTGTGAGTGTTAACAGTAATGAGTTAACATGGTGTTCATATTATTATTATATTAAGTATTTTGCCACTGAGCAGTTATTCAGAAATAACATTGGTTCTAACTTCGTCTTGTGTCTTATTTCAGGATACAGGAATTCAAAGTGACCTTAAGTGAAGAGAACATAAACTTGAAGACACTGAGGGAACTTTGCTTCAATGGTAATTTTCACACCTTAATGTGCTTTTGTGCCGACAGCATCAGTGCTGATACTTCATGGTTCTGTTGTTCACCATCCTTTTCTCTATTTGCCTCAGGAATCCCATTTGAAGGAGGCATACGAGCACTTTGCTGGAAGGTGAGTTACCCTGCCTCTGTGAGTTACCCTTCGTCTGTAATTCTCATCTTTACTCTACAATAAAGATCTCTTTGGCAAAATAAAGAAATGAGAAACTAGGTCTAGGTTTGTTGGACATTTAACTATATGGGCTAGGGCTGTGTATTGGCACAGCGATGCAATACATGTCGATACAGGAGTAACCATTCAGTATATGGCAATATATTGCAATATTGTAAGCAAGCTGATATATTGCAGGTTTCTTTTGTAACATCCAGTATCATAGTCTTCAGTTTACATCAACACTGCTGTCTAGCTCTTGGGGGTTTAAACACAAAAATCAATACAGTGATTAATTACTAACTTACTAACTTGATTAATGATAATGAATACAATATCACAAAACAGAATACTGGAAAAGTCAAGTGTACTGGTATTTTCTTAGACCTCTAAAATATTGTTATTTGTGACCTGTGTTCCTGACTCGTGCTTGTTTTTTTTACTCTCTTCTCAGATTCTTCTTAATTATCTACCTCTCGATCAGACATTATGGGAGTCGTTCCTGAAAAAGCAGAGGTGAGGAGAACATTTTGGAACCTGATCAAATAGCTTGTCGGCTGGAAGACTTTTACTTTTTATTCTGTGATTCTTTTTTTGGTGTTGCGTTGAAATCACAAAGTCAGCTGCTATGGATCAGTATAGCTGATGACATTAGCTAACGTTGTTGGCTGACTTATAAAAAGAAAGAAACATCTCATTTCAGATGTGACTCACCCGGCCTCAGGCTCTTTATTATAGTGGTCTGTCACAGTGAGGCTAGCTGGGAACAAACCACCTCTACTATTGTTTCCTCATTTATATCAGACCCAACAGAGGAATTCTGTTTTCACCACAGAAAAAACCCTGAAAGGACCTTTTAGTAAATAGTGCATGTTTTATCTATATGTTTTGTTGTTAATTAGGGCTGCAACTAATTGTTTTGATTATTGGTTCTTTTTTCAGTGTATAAAATGTCTGCCTGTTGTAATTCCCCAGACACTCCAGATGACATCTTCATATGTCTTGTTTTGTGTCGGCACAACTGTTAATGAATGTTAAAGATGACTTTTATCCAGTATAACTCAAGGTGTATTTTCAGTTTTTTATTTGGACATTGGATCCCCATAAGCTTCCTCAAAGTGGTCACTAGTCTTCCTGGGATAAAACAGTGATAAAACAGGAAAATAGAAAGCAAGCTAAATATCAAAAAGTCCAATGATTCTGCATATAAAACATGTTGACTTTTTGAAGGACAATCTGCGTTTAATCCGTCTGATGTTTTCGCTTATCCTTCCATTTTTGCCTGTGCCTCTTACAGGGAGGTGTACTCTCAGTTCCTAAAAGAAATGATCATCCAGCCCGGTATCGCCAAAGCCAACCTGGGCCTTTCCAGAGAAGATGTGACCATGGAGGACCACGTGAGTCAAGTCTCTTTTGTTCTCTTTTTCCACAGCAACTGAAATGAGGCTTGATTGAATGAGGTCCATGCTAGTGACAATCCTAATGACTGCTCATTCTCTACCCAATGGCTCGTTAGAAAAGAGACAGAGTGTAGACGGGTATAACATGAGACTCTTTAGAGCACATACATTGTATGACTTGGCAGGGCTGACTGTTTAATGTTCTCTTTTGGTAAACTAACTGTGTTCCTAACAGTGCAACAGTAAAAAGTGGATGTGTGTGTAACTGCCTTACAGATCACTTTATAACCTCCAGTCTTTTGACTTTTTGTCCTCAGTTGCTTAAGCACTTTTCAAAATATTGTTTGACTGTCAAAACATTACAAACAATTTATACAGTGTGCAATGCAATCTTCAACAAAAGTCATAAAAAGAATTCTACAATTTACAGTAACAGTTACAATTTTCATGGCTTTCATTGGAAGAGGCATGCACACACTAGGGATGGGCATTTGGGGTGACAGTAGCTCAGTGTGTAGGGACTTGGCTTGGGAACCGGAGGGTCGCCGAGTGTGGACTGGTAGCTGGAGAGGTGCCAGTTTGACCTCCTGTGCACTGCCGAGGTGCCCTTGAACAAAGCAGCCTAACCCCGAAACCTGCTCATGAGGCGCTGGTAACGCGGCAGCCCATCACTCCACCATCTCTCCCCTTTGCATGTCCACATGTGCATGAAGTGTGCATTTCAGCCTGTGTGTGTGTGTGTATAAAAAAAAGAGTGAAAAAAAATTTCCCCCTAGGGAATCAATAAAGTATAACTTCTTCTTCTTAATAGGTATGTTTTCATTAGTGTATAATCACTTGAATATAGGAATATAGAAATTTTTGTGTCTCTGAATGAGCTGTTTTATCTACAGAGGGTTCGGGTCCTCTTCTGTGGAGTCTGCGATGTTGAACCACCATCTTTCTACAGTAGTCCAGAAAGAACCAAACACTGGCTCTAGATAGGAGCATTTTTCATGAGTTTCGTAGTCACTAAATCCTACTCTTGTGTCTGCAGCCTCTCAGGATGCCCCAGAGCCTTGTATGCCAAGAAGAAGGCCAAGTTCCCCACAGAGGACTACCTGAGCACCAAGTTCAGAGCCAGTGATGGTAAGAGCATGTGTGTGCATAAATCATAAGTGTTCTCTAGAGCACTTAACTAACAGTGTGTGTATTTTAAAGAGTTTAGACACATTTTTCTTAACTATATCAAAAAACAGGAACAAATCCTTTTGTTATAGCAAAGAATGTTGGGTGGGGTATGGAGCCAAGTCCAGGTACATAGAGGGTTAGGATTCAGAATACTTCTACAGCTCAGTACATCATTTTAAGAAAAATAGCAAATATAGATATAAAATGCATTTACAGAGCAGACACTATTCTTTTCAGTTTTAATGTATCTGACTCCTCCTTTAGTTTTGGACAACGACGAAGACATCAAGCAGCTCAACAGAGAGATTAACGACCTCAACGAATCCAACAATGAAATGGAAGCTGACATGGTCAACCTGCAGACTCAGGTGTGTGTCTCTATTTTTGTTTTATTTTTAACCTTTAAATCACTGAACCTGTTCTTACGGGTCAGAGGGCTGATGTGTGTTATCAAATTTAGAGTTATATGAAGTACTCAGTTGAGTCACTTGAGGCTGTTAAGGAATATTAGGTACAGTATAGTGTTGACGTATAACAAAGCTGTAAAACTTTAAAAATCACAGATGGAAAAGTTATTCCTTTGAAAGAATTAGCCTTTCTCTTACTCTTTTCTTACTAATGAAAAGTTGAATTCATAAGCAATAGAACACAGCTTGGCTCAATTTCATAAACGTATAGGTTTTGCTGCTAAAACCTGATTTAATCTGCTAGTTTTTGGTGGCTAATGTCTGCAAACTGAAGGTAAATATTGCTTTGTATGCAGGGTGCAAACTACAGGGGAGCCAGGGGCAGCATGGCTCCTCTTAATAAGACTGAAAACATGAGTTGGGAAATTTTGGGTGGGTCTCTAAAATATTGAAATGCATTTTTGCCATGCATTTCTATATTTCTGCATCTTCATTATCCTGTATCATACATTAAATCAGGCTATTATTGATTTATAATTGATGCACAAGTGATTCATCCCCAATTCACTTTAATAAACATACTGGCTTACATACATGCAGGCTTTTCTTACCATCACCATTATTCATTTCTCTGTTTTGTTGTCATACTGTAAGTCACAAACAGTAAAAACGTGAGCTTACCTGAAAGCCATGATATAGTTCAACCTGTTGGTAACTGACATTATTCAATCAGTTTGCTGCTTTTGTACTACACTTTAACATTTACCATTATCTGTAATCTATAATTATCACTTGTGGCCAAAGTGGCCACTGTTCAACATGAGTTACATAAACTGGCTTTAAATAACAAGTGATATTCTTTATATTTAATTGTCAATAAATCTCATGAAAAGAGCAGAACCAACAGTTCAACAGTTCATCAATACATTCATAAATCTCCCTGACTGTGTCTCTTGTCCCCAATCCCTGAAGATGTCTGTCTTAAAAATAGCTCACAAATATTTTGTTTCATTAAAACATAAAAAATATTTCCTAAAACAGCTGTCTGCTGTAATTTGTTAGAAAATTTTACTCAAACAGCAGGAAATCATTTGTCGGTGATTATTTTTAGCTGTAGATTAATCCACATTTGGTCTTTAACACAATGTCCCCCAGTGCAGCAGTGTTACAACATATATACAAACAATCTTCTTGGAACAGTAATGTGTGACTGATCCGTCTGCTTCCACAAAAAAAAACATTTAAAGTCATCTCCTCCTTCTACCTCATTAAAACCTCCAGAATCTCTGAATATGCAAATGTTTTCTAAAGTTTTGCTATTTTTGTGATGTCACAAATCCTGCTGGTACGGGGGCCCGCCCCTTGTAAAATCTTGATTTCAATGAGCACAGAGAAACTTTCCTTCTTTCAGCAGATCGACAATCGGTGAAAACATCCCTTCTAGCTGGTCCAAAACCTGCACATACAGCATTCAAACATCACACTGTAGAGACAGGAAGATACACTGGTTTCTGACTGGAGGGAGACTTTAAAATCCTATGAATGGTTTTGTCCTTTAATGGAAATTGTTGACAATTTAAAAAAATATCAGAATATCAGAAGACTAATTTACAAGTTACAACCTTGTTTGTTGCTGTGTTGCAGATCTCCTCCATGGAGAAGAACCTGAAGAGCATTGAGCACGAGAACAAGATGATCGAGGAGCAGAACGAGGCTCTGTTCATGGAGCTGTCTGGTCTGAGCCGCGCCCTGATCCGCAGCCTGGCTAACATACGCCTGCCACACATGGTGAGTTGTCGTCCACGGCCACACATACACACAGGGCTAGACCCCCTCACACACACACCTTTTTTGATTGATTTCATGCATCTCGTTTGTGCCACAGCAGGAGCCAATAACCGAGCAGAACTTCGACAGCTACGTAAGCACCCTGACCGACATGTACACCAACAAGGACTGCTTCCAGAGTCCTGAGAACAAGGCTCTGCTGGAGAGCATCAACAAAGCTGTGAAAGGCATCAAAGTCTGAGGCTCCACACACACACTAACACACACACACACACACACACACACAGGGAGAACGCAGGAGCGTGACAGAGGAGGAGATGAAGGAGAGATGTTGAAATACTCTACAATATATTGAAATATGATTCAAAAACAAAAAGGGAATTCAGGTTATTTAAATAAACGGCAACTTAAAAAAATCAACCCAGGGAGCACTCTGTTTGAAGAAAAGTGACGTGGACCAAAATCCAGACCATGCTGCTGCTGGGATTAGGAGGAGGAAACGGATCCTTCAGCCAGAATGGATGGAAAAGAAGAATAATGTTACAAGAAACTGTATCTGGGGGTTTTAACATGTTGTGTGTTTACCTGTTGTCTCTTTTGTGTCCTTAACTGTTTTTGGAGAGGGGGGTTTCACTGTCGATCCGTTCTTCACGCTTACTACCAGCTGAAACGCAGAGGAATGCAGGATTGCTCACGAGGAGCTGAGCACAGGGACTCTTGGCGCCGTCCTGTAGCATACACTGGCGAGCGCGCACGGAAGCTCGGGAAGCTCTCGGATTCATGAATACACACAAGCGCCGGCAATATGGAGCATGCACTAAACCCAGTTTGTGTTTGCCTTGCGGTATTGCTGCGGCGAAGATGTCAACAGTGCAATGTTGACTTTAGCGAAGGGGAAACATTTTCTTCAAGCAAGGTCATGAAACAGATCCAGGAACAGCTGATATCATGATTTAAAAAGCAGCAGATAAATTGTTTTTTTCCTTTTTTTGAAAACTGAAATGATAATAGTGTGCACACATTTCAAATTCAGTCAGTCATATCAATAGTATTTATCAGCATAGGAATTGCACTTCATTTCCATGAATAGTTATGTGGTACAATAATTATTGTTATATATGAATTATTTAAACTTGTGAACTTTTAAATTGTAACTTATTGCCATTTATGTTATTGAGGTTTATTTATTTGAAGCAATCTATTTATTAACTTTGTTTTGTAACACACACACAAAAATGCATCTTTACTGATTATCATGGTCAAAGCAATGTCTTACGTCAATATTTTAAGAATCTATATAGATAACTGACAAGGCATATTTTGTTTTGAGTACTTTTTAAAAACCTTTTTAAGTGCAGATGTTTTATAACTGACAAAAAATGTTTTTGATAATTTTACAAAAAATGTTATTTTTTTGGGTTGTCCTTTTTTGTTTGTGTTCTTTCTGTTACTGCTACATTCAGAAACCCACTGCTGAGAAAAAAAACAGAAGAAAGTATGTATTTATTATTTAATTTATATGAAAGAAATTGACTGATATGGCTGTATATTTATTTTGTTATTTATGTGCGTGATGTGAGTCTGAGTAGTCTTAAAGCTCCACTGCTAATATTTAAATAAAGAAACAAAACCAATACAAATACTGTTTGATTACTTAGGCTTATACCTAGACATACCAGCAGCTGATTGTAAAAAAACAACAACAACCCAACAAAAGCAATCACTGTTCTGTTTCTATCTGGTCTCTGTGTGTTTGCTTTTGTCAGGTAAAAAAAAGAATAGAGTTGAAAAATATTACCTCTCCCAGGCGTCTTGTAGCGGCCAGCAATGGCTCACCCAAAACCTCTGTAATGTACCACAGATGCTTAAGTGATGCTTTTTATTTTTTGTCTTATTTATTACTTTCATCAGTACAATGGTACATATATAGAGCTCTATTCCAGCTGTGGTTAAGGCTGGATGTATGGCTCAAAAACAAACACACACACACACAGAGAGAGAGTGACATATCCAAACCTTGAGGATACTGTAGGTTGGCCTCCTTTTGACAAACGTCTATCAGATAAACATACACACCCTTGTAGCCTTACTCTAGATTTTAATTTTTTGATGCACAAAGTGCCACAAAAAAAAAAAAGAAAAAAAATTTTCTTTCCTGATTCTTCGCATTTTTGCAATGTAACAATGTCTGGTCCCGGGAAGACCATCGAGAGTGGTGATTGTTTCAGATGCCTTTATTTCTCTGCCAAGATGGCCATTAGTATACTATATATACATTCTGTATAAATAGATTTTAAAGATGCTATATATATGAATATAAACATACATATATTTTTCCAGTGTAATTGTTGACTTGCTCTTCTTCTCTTGTATTACCTTATCAAAGGACGACTCGCTGTCTGGAAGAGATGTGAGGGGTGTTATCAATAGGAGGCAGTTACACCTTATGAAATATCACTAAGACCTGCTGAACTGTGGCTTTAAACATACCATTCAGTCAAGCTGAAGGCAAAGTAGGCATTGATGATACAGTACAATATTTTGGAAATGTTTTCATAGGTTTTTTTCCTTTCCTTTATTTGTCTGTCCTTGATCCAGAAATGTCAAAAACATCTACTGTATGTTGTACTACTGAATCTGAGAAATGACTGTCAATTTGAAACTAGGTGGTTGGCTCTTTGTTCCTAAGTGTCATGTGAGTTCATGTATAGTTAAAAAAAAAAAAAAACAGCGTGATGCCTCTGATAAACATCGTCTCTGCAAACACGCTCGTTTCGGCCCCCAACTTTCTTTTTTCTGTTGGGGCTGCAGTTATCTGTAGCTTGTTTGCTGGTAACGGGGCCCTGCTCGCATGAGCCAACTTCAGTGCTAACCTGCCTTTCGAGTGCACCCTGTTGATCCCTGTTTGCAGGCGCCGC